TTCTCTCTCTCTCAAATAAATAAATAAAATCTTTAAAAAAAAAAAAAAAAAGAATCCTCCTTAGTTTCCCAGTACAAATCTAAGGTCATTCAATTCCAGTCTGTCTGATATCCTTAAACTTCAGTAAACCTCATGGGGTGCCCCGGTGGCTCAGTCAGTTAAGTGTCCAACTCTTGATTTCAGCTCAGTGTCATGATCTCGGGGTTCTGGAATAGAACCCCACATTGGGTTCTGTGCTCTCCCTCTGCCCTTCCCCCCACACACGTACACTTTCTCTAAAATAAATAAATCTTAAAAAACAAAAACAAACTTCAGTGAACCTCAAGTTCCTCAGGTACAGCATTGGTGGTGATGGTTGCAACTGAGCAATTCTGTGGGAGTGACTGAGGGAGTAACTATTTAACTTAAACTGCATTTCCATCAAGAAACAACAAAGTAAAATCAACTGCAAACTACTAGTTCAAAATGATGTACCATGCACTTAAGCCTTCTCTCCTCTTTCCTGAGCCTCAAGGAAATAAAAGAATGGAAGTACAAAAAGGAATAAACCTTACCACACCAGCTGAGGGTGGGAAAGACAGGATCTGTTCACAATTGTATGAGAGTTCAACAATTTCTGGAAAATGGAAAGCATATGAGAGTATGTTGAGTGATGAAGAAGACACCAGGGAGGGGTAGGGAAAGGGTGAGATACAACCTGCCTATTGGAAATCATGAAATGCTGGATTCAGAGTTGAAAGTGAAAAATGTGGTTGAACACAAGATTAACTGAAGGTTTATGTACAGAGCTACAGTACAAACCAGCACCTCTCTGTTTTTTCCCATACCCCGGCACTTGGAATTCCAGCATCCAAGAAAAACATGCAAAACTGAGGCCTCCTTTGTGGAATGAACCTTCTGGGGTTAGCAAAGACTTTTATGGAATTTGGTGCCCCAGCCTACAAGCCTTCATATTTTGCAAACGTATGCCTGACAACCAGCTTCCCATCAGTTTATGCTGTCGTGAAATCTGACAGCAAACATAGCCTCATCACCTTATACAGGGCAGAGGTCTCACAGGAAAACTGACCTACTAACATAGCTGTGGGACAAATTCATACAAGCGACTTCTTTCTTTAATAATAATTGGTAATCAAGTAGAACCAGGAATGTAAGGAAGAATCAGAATATGAAAGAGAAAGATTAAAGTAAACAAAAACTGATGCTGGATGAAATTCAATAATTTAGGGCATAGGATGGACCTTTAAAGAAAATCCAATATTTTCAAAATAATCCAAGCAGACTGCCCATAAAATAAAAATACTATAACATTACAAAGAAATAGAGGATAAGAGGGCTCTTAAAGATGAAAAATATGAGGAAGATGGAACAGTAGGAGGACCCTAAGCTCACCTCATCCCATGGATACAACTAGATAACACCCACATCAATATAAATAACCCAGAAAATGACCCAAAGACTGGCAGAACAGATTCTCCACAGCTAAACATAGAGAAGAGGCCACCTTGGAAAGGGTAGGAAGGGCAGAGACACAGACAGGAGTTAAACAGACCCACAGGACTGTCCCCAGGAGGAACAATGCAAGTACAGAGAGGGAAAAGAAACCACCCTCACACCAGGCACCCCAGGCATGGGGAACCTGCATGGGGAAGATAAACCCCCATAACATTTGGCTTTGAAAACCAGAGGGGCTGAATTTTGTGAGTTTTTACAATCACTGGGGCTTAGTACCTAGAACTTTAAAAGTCAGCAGGCTGGACTCTGGAAGAGCTGGGAGAGCCTGGAGGAGGAGGAAACGGAGTCCCCACCCTTAAAAAGAGCACAACAAACTGCCCCACTAAGATACAGCATAGAAGCAGCAGTTTGAAAAACACCTGGGGTATGAAGGATGGAGATCTGTTTACTAATCTGAGAGTGAAGGCTGGAAGGGCAGGGATTTTGGGGAGATTTCTCCAGGAACAAAAGAGCTGACAGGTGTCATTCCACCCCCCTGCCCCCCAGCTTAGAACCAGGGACACCTGTGGGAACCAACACAGTGCCAACAGTTATTATCTCACTTGCTAACACTGTACCCTGCCCTGGCATTCTCCAGCAGACATGCCCATCCACAGCCAAGCCTCCATTCCAGGTCCACTCCCAAGCACACCTGAGCAAAACTTCCTGACACTGTGTACCTCACGCCCATGTTCGCCTGCGGACCTGCCCCCTTCAATACAACTGTGGAGAGACCATCCAAAGTGCTACCATGAGCCTGGCAGTGTGCAAGCAGCCCTGAGAGAGGCCAGCACAACTCCAGAGTGACTCCTGCTCTAGGGGAGAGGAGATGATAACCACATACACCGGATCGAATTTGGCCACAAAGGTGGGCTGGGGGCAGACAGCTGGTCTGACTACAGGCCCTGCCCACCACCAAAAGCTTCTCAAAGGACAACAGAGGGAAAGAACCCTGCAGTTCAGTGCTACTGCCTCTCTGGCAAACATTTAGTCTGACTCAACTCAAGTGCAAGGCGGCCGCAGCCTGACCCACTAAGAGAGGCAATAAATGCTACCCACAAGGAAAGAGAGCCATTGCAGATAACTGGACTAAAGGCAAATACAGCTCAGTTACCACAGCAGGGCACACACAACATATATAAGAGACATTCCTAAAGTGCCAGGTTCTGGTAAATAGGGGACACTGCAGTGCAGGGCACTACAGGACCTTTTTATAAGGCCATTACTTTCAAGAGCAGGAGATGTAGCTGACTTTCTTAACACATAAAAACAGACACAGAGTTACACAAAATAAGGAGACAAAGGAATTTGTTCCAAATAAAAGAAAAGGACAAAATTACAGCAAGAGCACTAAATGTAATGAAGTAATACATATACCTGATAAAGAATTTAAAGTAATGATCACAAAAATATTCAGTGGATTTGAGAAAAGAGTGGAGGACCTCAATAACACCCCCAACAGAGACAGAAAACATAAAAAAGAACCAATCAGAGAAGAAGAAATAATAATGAAAATTAAAAATACATTAAATGGAATAAATAGTGGACTAGAGGAAGCAGAGAAACAGATTAATGATCTGGAGGACAGACTAATGGAAAGCAATCAAACTGAACAGGAGAAAGAAAAAAAATAATACAAAATGAAAATAGATTTAGGGACCTCAGTGACACCATCAAGTGTACTAACATTCGCACTGTATAGATCCTAGAAAGAGAAGAGAGAAAAAAGGGGGTAGAGAATTTATTTGAAGAAATAATAGGTGAAAACCTCCCAAATATGGGGAAGGAAACAGAAATCCAGATCCAAGACTCACAGAGAACCCCCAACAAAATCAATCCAGGAAGGTCCACACCAAGACACACAGTAATTAAAATGGCAAAAAGTAGTGATAAGGAGAGAATTTTAAAAGCAGCAAAAGAAAACAGGTGCATGCAAGGGAAATCCCATAAGGCTATCAGCTGATTTTTCAGCAGAAATTTTGTAGGCCTGAAGAGGGTGGCATGATATATTCAAAGTACTGAAAGAAAAAAACCTGCAACCAAGAATACTCTATCCAGCAAGACAATCATTCAGAATAGAAGGAGATACAAAGAATTTCCTAGACAAACAAAATTTAAAGTAATTCATGACCACTAAACCAGCCCTACAAAAAATGTTAAAGGAGACTCTCTGAATGGATAGGAAAGACCATAAGCAATCCCATTTACTAGACCACTTTTCTACACCATACACAAAAATAAAAATGGATTAAAGACCTAAGTGTGAGACAGGAAACCACCAAAGTCCCCTTTGATAATAACCTCTTTGGAATTAGTTATAGCAGCTTCTTACTAGACACATCACTGGAGGCAAGGGAAACAAAAGCAAAAATGAACTACTGGGACTTTATCAAGATAAAAAGCTCCTGCACAGTGAAGGAAACAATCAACAAAATTCTAAGGCAATCTATGGAATGGGGGAAGATATTAGCAAATGACATATCTGATAAAGGGTTGTTACCCAAATCTAAAAAGAACTCAACAAACTCAACACTCAGAAAACAAATAATCCAGTTAAGAAATGGGCTGAAGACATGAACATTTTTCCAAAGAAAACTTCCAGATGGCCAACACACATGAAAAGACGCTCAATATCACTGATCATTAGGAAGATGCAAATCAAAACTACAGTGAGCTATCACCTCATTCCTGTCAGAATGACTAAAAATAACAACACAGGAAACAAAAGGTGTTGGCAAGGATGTGGAGAATGGGGAACCCTCTTACACTGTTGGTGGGAATGCACACTGGTGGAGCCACTCTGGAAAACAGTATGGAGTTTCCTCCAAAAGTTAAAAATAGAACTACCCTATGTCTCAGTAATTGTACTACTAGGTATTCACCCAAAAGATGCAAAAATACTCATTTGAAGGGATACATGCACCCCGATGTTTACAACAGCATTATCAACAATAGCCAAATTATGGAAAGAACCCAAATGTCCATCTACTGATGAATGGATAAAGAGTACTTGGGGTATACACACACACACACAGGAATATCACTCAGCCATTAAAAAGAATGCAATCTTGCCATTTGCAACAAAGTGGATGAAGCTAGAGAGTATTATAAGTGAAATAAGTCCATAAGAGAAAGAAAAGTACTGTATGAGTTCACTCCTATGTGGAATTTAAGAAACAAAATGTATGAACATAAGGGGGAAAAAAAGAGAGGTAACCCATAAGACAGACTCTTAACTATAGAGAACAAACTGAGGGTTGCTGGAAATGAGGTAGGTAGGGGGGATGGGTTAAATGGGTGATAGGTATTAAGGAGGGCACTGGTTGTGAGCAGTGTTGGGTATTGTAGGAAGTGATGAATCACTAAATTCTACACCTGAAACTAACATTGCATTGTATGTTAACCAACTGGAATTTAAATAAAAATGTGAAACCAAAAAAAAAAAAAAAATGAATCCAGGAAGTCCAAGGTGTGAATAACAGAATTCCAAAGAGACAACCAATAAAATGGGAAGAATGAAAATAGCTAAGAAATAACTGAAGAAAATTTTCCAGGGCTAATGAGAATCCTAGTTTTTCAGAATTAAAGGACTCAAGACTGAACAAAAATAACTTAAGAAGAGAAAAACACTGATGTCACATTGTGAGCTTTCAAAACACTAAGAATAAAGGAATGATTTTAAATGCCTTTTCCAAAAGAAAAAAAGTCACCACAAAATATGTGAATCAGACTGGTATTAGCTACACTGGATGCCAAAAACACTGAAACAATGTCTTCAAATTTCTGACAAAAATTGTCTTTCAAGGTACAAATCTATCAGTAGGCCATCAATCAACTATAAATAGAGAAAAGTATTTCTAGGGGAAATACTCAGGAATTTACTTCTCAGGAAATACACTTCCTGTGCTTCCTTTCTTTAGGAAGATCATCAAGAATAATTCTCCACCAAAACAAGGGTGTCAGCAAGGAAAACAAATTGGCAAACAGGAAACA